TCCCCCTCCCAAATGCAGCCTTTTCTGCTCTCACTTCTGTCATGATGTTGTGTGTTTGGTTATACTTCTTCTGACAGCAACCTGCACATAGTTCTCCTCTTCCCCTCCCTTACCTCAAGGGCTTGTTTCTAGGGTTCTGGGTGACGTGAGGTGTGATGCTTGTCACTTTCCACTCAAACAATTAATCTTGTGAACTGCTCTGCTTACAAACCTACATACATGCTTTTAACCTCTGCTTTTAAAGTGTGAGGAAGAAGTAATGGATTTCTTAGATCTCACGTAGTAAGGATAGTTTATGCATTATTTATAGTTATTATTATTTGATTGCCATGTTTTTTTAAAATTTACCTTACTTTAGTGGTACAGTAAAAGAAAGCTTCTTCTGTTATCAAATTCTCATAGTAGCTTCACCTTAAAATTTAATCAAAATCAGGAGCTACTACATTTTACTTTCTAGTGTTGTAATCATCATCCCTTACTGCAAAAAACTGTTATGGAACATATTGTTTAGAGAACTAGCCTTTAGCAGCAAGTCAGACTTGGTTTTAAATTTGAGTTATGTGAATTTAAACTTTTGGAAAGCCTTTGACTAGAAGAATAAATCAATTATTTTTTTCTTAATTCTACCGTACTGTTTTTGTAATAAGTATTGCTTTGCAATATTAGCAAATCAAGGCTTAGTAGCATCGTGCTTGTGTGTAAGTTCTGCAAAGAAAAAGTAAGAAATGAGACCTCAAGAGAATGCCAGGTTGTCAGGAGAAGTCTAGGCCAGTGAAAAGCATAAGATAAAAGCTATTTTTATCTAGACTGAATAAAACTTATCATAAATTATGAAGTAAATTAAATATTTTTTTTTATAGTTCTGTGCCAATGTGTGTTTTTTAAAATTTGAAATCCTATGTAAAGGACTATATTCAATCAATTGACCAATAAAATGTTTATAGAGGCCTTCTTTCTTTTACATTTTCCTTTAAGGTGTTTTGTGATAGTGTAAGAAATTTGAGACTGTGAGGTCTTCAGTGTTTCAGAGTCAAACAGATGTCAGTGATTTTTCACTTTGCTAGAAGAACTGGTAAAGAGATTTCTGTCAAAACATGGACTTGATAAAATATAACTTTCTGTAGGAAGATAGCAGTTTCATTTATGTTTTCAAGAGAAAGCTATAAAAATACTTTATTCATAGTTGAAACTAGAATATTAAGAGGGAAACCATAAGTCAAAACTAAACATCTGACACCATCAAAATATTCTATTTGTCAGTTGTTTCAGAGCTCCCAAAATAAAAATTGCAGAATTTCTGTTTTTGCAGAAAGTGTTGACTTCTTATTTTTGTTTGAAAGGAAATTTCAGAATGTTCATTTTTTGTTCCTAGGCCAGCATGATTTTCTTACTTTTTTGCCCTGACTTTTTACGTGCTTTGGTTACTGAAGCAGTTTCGATGGAGCTTGTTAGACCAGGAGTCTCCAGAGCCCTCTGCATTTGTCACAAAGCTCTTGGAACTCTGCTGACTTGAAGAACAACTTGATGCTTCCTCATAGTCCGAATTAGTGAAGTTATCAAAGGCTCTGTAGGAGAGCAGTGCAAGTTCTGGGCATCTTTGAAACTGTTAGCTGAATTTCTAATCAAGACTACGACCTGCTCTTCGTTCTGCAGTGAGTGTTACTCCATCCTAACCGGAACAGAAGGGCTGCTCCGCAGTGGTGCTGCTGTCCATCTAGCAGCCGGTGCAGTTTTTACGATCACAGCCAGCCTGGCCTAGACTGGCACTGGGACAGAAGACCAACAAAATGTCACTCCTGGAGTTCTGCCTCTTTCCCTAGACAGTGCCCTTCTCAGTGTCTCACAGGCTACAGATTTGGTGTGAGATCAGATGACTGGAAATAACTGCTATTTTTTTCCCCGGGTCCAGATGTACTCTCTTTTAAAAATGGACTGTGTTGAATTGAGCTTTAAGAATGTGGTCATATGACAGAGATTACAGTTGTTAAGTATTTGTTTATCAAGGATTTATATTTTTAAAGAAGCTTACAACTCCATTATAGCTTACAATCTAAATATAACAACTTGCAATGAAAAGGTGCAGACTGAAAATAATGAAGCATGCAGAAACTGTGGGTTCCAAATGATGTTCCTGAGAAATGAGAATGCTTTATGAAATCCAAAGGAAACTTCTTCCTGGAAATACTGTTTCTGAAACAACACTGAGCAGCTCTGATTGCTGGGGAAGTGTAACAAAAGCTCTGATTCTTTGTAGCCCTCCTCTTAGAGGGCAATTTGAAATTGATTGCTAATGGCAAAAAACCTGTCATAAACACAAGACTAAGAGGCAGTCAGTGATGTGCAGATTTATGCACAGAAATATAAACACAATAAAAAGAAAACGTATTGCATATGGTTTTGTGCATTTAGAATATATAAGGCTAATGTGGTAAAAATGCCTGAAACACTAACATAATTTTGGAGTTATTAAAGTCAGTGGAAGTAATTCAAGGTGAACTATCTTCTTTTGATAATGTGACCTGACATTGCAGAACTGTTAATGTGTCATATGCTGCATGTGAAGAATTTGCCTGCCTTTTGTTTGTGGATGATTCATTACTTTTACCAATCATTAGAGTCACAACACATCAATAACAGTAAAATGAATAACTAATGACGGTACGATGTCAGTACATCTCTTTGCAGTTTTCAGGGTCACTTCGTATGTCATCTGTGTCACAAGCTGCCTCAGTACCCCGGCTCCCTGCTGACGCAGTGTGTGTGCTGGGTCTGGGGATGCAGGCTGACAAGCTCCTCCTGCACTGCCGTGCCTTTGCTCCCATCGCTTCTTCTTTGGGCCATGCTGCTCTCGGAACTGCAGGACTGGGCGGTAAACCAGCGCAGGGAACAGAACTGTGTTTAAAAAACTTGTTTTTTCTACTTGGTTCTTTGCAAACTGAGGTCACAAAAACCAGAAGCGTCTCAGGAATAGGTATGGGCAGCAGGTGGGAAAGACATTGTGATGGGAGCTGTGTATGCCTGCACTGTTGTTGGCTGAAATAATGGTGGAAATGCAGAGAAACTCAGATAAAGAGCTTAAAAACCAAACCCATTAAGTATTCTGGCTGTGATTCAGATGTATATTCCTTCTAAGGTAGAAATTTATTATCACACTCATAAAATTCCATTTGGTTGTTCCTAAGATTATGGCATTTAATTGTCTCCATCTTAGTAAAATAATGAAGCTCTTTTACACCTTTGTTGGAACAAATATCATCTTTCTTTTCAGGAAAACAGACCTATTTTATCCAGTGTCATAGAAACTGACGCCAGAATGAATTTAGACCATGACACAGTGGGAGTATTCTAAAGACAAATGGCTTAGTAAGAAAGACATTTATATTCTAAAAGCAGGTTTTATGTATTATGAGTTGTATTATAAAAGATCATTGAATGTAACACATATATTTTGTGGTAAATAAATTAAAATTATATACTAGATACCTGTGGAAATGAATGGTACAATAGCTCAAGTCTAGATACAGCTCAGACAGAAAGATTCTGATGTATGTAGGCAGGATGGCCAGGAAATCTTGAAGTGCATGGAACCTGCACTTTTCTCAGGTTCAAAGCTCCAGGAAAGTCAATAAACTTTTATGTGAACACATTATCTACCTGTACAGAGTCATTTAGGAAATTAAGTCTGCTGAGGCATAGAAGAACATGGCTTCTAAATGAGTAATTGTATGGGACAACGCTTTGTGACAGTACGTGTTGGTGGAGCTAATCCAGGCTCTGTCATTACATGGTATTTGACACTGACCAAATCACAACCTCCTTGCCTCAGTTTCACCACACAGCAATTAGATTACTGATTGATTTAATCTTTATTAATCTTGAAGATTAACATAAGCATGTGCTTCTGAGGATTAAAACTTAATCCTCAAATCATACTTGCAAAGAAACTCTGGTCGTAACAAAAAATGTAAACTGAACTTTAATTAAAACAAAAAGTGGCTAATAATACAGAATTCAGTTTTATTTCACAATCAGTCTTCAGAGCAATCAAAGGATGAAGTCAGCAAAAAAAAGAACTGCAAAAAAGAGAAAAGCACTTGTAATTGAAAAAGGCCTTAGAGTGCTGTGGAATGAGACTTGCCCACATTTGCTCCACTTTGGGAAAGCTGATTAGAATCCAGTATCTAAATAATAATAAAGACACGCGTGATAAAAATGAAGAGGCATTCAATTATTCTCATTAAGGTGCCTGGAAACATCCCTTGCGGAGCTGTCAGCCGGTATAATCGTCTCTTTGTTAGGGCTGGGGAAGTTAAAGACTTTATTTTGCTTCACAGCCTCATTAGTGAGCCTATCGCTAGCTCTATTTTTATTTCTAAGCGATCGTGGCCGAGCGGGGAGGTGGGGGGAGCGATGTGCGCGTGTGTTTTCGGACAGCGGTAAAATACACGCACCTGGTGCCGGCTCCCTCACACCCATCCCGAGCGCTGCCGCTGCGTGTTCCGTTCCGTGTGACAGCTCCCACCCGCGCTGGCAGGGCAGCTTCGACAGCGGCCGCCTCCCGCGGCCCCAGAAGCAGCATCTTCTCCCCCACCCTCCCCAGGCCCCGGGCACGACCCTCCGCGGGCCCCGCCTCAGCTTCCCCCGCGGTGGGGCTGGGTGCTGCCCGGCGCTGGAGCCTCGTTCGCGGTTCATCCCCGGCAGGGAAACAATGACTTATTTTCCACCTTCCCCTCCCTGGGGCTACCGCCGCCTCTCCCGTTTCCGGGCCCGCGGTGGCGGGACGCGGTGGTGCTCACCGCCCCCCCCCCCCCCCCCCCCGCCCCGGGCGCCCTCAGAGACGGGCGCCGCCCGCCCTCGGAGCGGGGCAGCACCACCCATTGGGGGAGAGGAGGGCGCGGGCGCCCGCACGGTCCGCTCTGCCGTTCTATTGGCTGGCGTGACCGCGCTTCGCTCTCCCGTTGGCTGCGGCCGCCGCCAGGCAGCGCCTGGGTCGGGCGGTGCCAGCCCGCCGTTGCCCGCCCTCGCCGCTGTCGCTCCCGGCGGGCGAGTAAGTCCGCGCGCGCGGCCGCGGCGGAGCCGTCGGGCGGGAGGGGTGAGTTCGAGTTAGCGGCCGCTCCAGCGGGAGCCAACTTTCCCCCCTGCGGCGGGGCTGGGGCAGCTCGGTCTGCGCCGGTGGGACGGTTGGTTGGTCGGCCGTTGGGCAACTAACGGCCGGCCGAAGGGGAGACCCGCTGGCGCCGGGTCCTGCGCGCCGGCTCCTCCGCCGCGCCCTGGGGGCAACCGTTCGGCGCGCGGTGGGAGCGGCCGTTACCCGCCGGGCTCGCGCGCGGGGCGGGCGGTGGAGTTGCCGTGGCGGGGCTGCGGGAAGGGCGGGGGGCCGCGATGGGCTGGGCGGGCCCCCCCCCCCCCCCCCCCCGCCGGGCCGGGGAGAGCGGCTCTCTGCCCCCCCGGGCGAGGCGGGGCGGGGTGACGCTCCAGGGAGCGGCTTCAGCCTCCTTCCCACCCCCCGCTCCCCCCCGCCGCCGCCTTCCTGGACCGTTTTCCGCGGGTTCCCCCAGGGCGCCGCCGGCATCCCGGCCGCCTGCCGGGGTCCTTCGGGGCTGGCGGTGACTTGTGTCGCCTGGAGAAGGCAGCCGGGGGTGCGGGCAGCCGGCTGTGGGCGAGACAAAGGAGCTGCTCCCGCCCGCTTCCCCGGAGCGGGGGGCGGACAGCGCGGTGCCTGGCAGCAGACTTCCCGCTCCTTGTGCTGGGCGCGTGCTGCGCTGGGCGCGTGTGCCTGCTCGTGGGAAGGTTTAGGACGGAGTTTAGTAGTGGCGTGCTGTCAAAAACATTCATGCTAACCCACCTCTTCTGTGTGTTTTGGTTGTGGTGTTTTTTTTTTTTTTTTATTTCCACCACCACCACCCCTCCTGCCGCGTTGACTTCTGTGCCCGCGGGTAGGGATGCGAGAGGTGGCAGCAACAGTTACAATTACTGAGAGTTCGCGGTTGTGGTTTGTGAGTCGGAAGTGCCGCAGGCTGCAGGGGGTTGTGCCGGTGTAGGCTTCGTTACTTCACGGACGTTAAATTGAAAGAACTTTCCGCGTGTTTTGTGTTTTAAAGATAATGGTAACAGCAGAAGTAATGCCCGTGGACTTGTCTTGTTCGCTGTTATCCTGAAAGACACGTTCCTGGAAAGAATAATCCTGAAAGAAACGTTTGTTTCCTGTCCAATTGAATTCAAACTCTATCCCGAAGAAACTCCTGAAGTTTTAAGTTCACAAGGAAAAGATTTGTATATTCAAAGATTATTAAGTCTTGTTAGCATTGATCTGTCATAATTTTTAATACACACTGCTATCGCATGAGAATATGACTATAGAAGAACAAAACAGAAAAGTTTTAAAGTTCGGGCTTTTTAAGTGATTGCTGCTAGGTTTGTTAGCTGCAAATTAAGGTTTGGTTATTTATTTTTTTTTTTTTTTTAAGGCAACTTGAACAAATGGCACTGCAAAGAAGCAAAAATCAGTTTTACGTAGCAAAGTGTAGAGTGTCACTGGTGATTGCTTTTCATTGCATCTAAAAGGCTTCTCTGCAGTTTTTCCTTCCAGGAATGTGGCTAGATGCTGTAGCGTCTTTTTAGAAGTTTGTGCTTTCCACAGAATGCCTTCCTCTATGACAGAGCCTTGCTTCTGTTGTGCTTTCCATCTTCCAACAAGTTCTTTTATGCTGTGAAAAGTAAGTAGTGTTGTGAAGCTTGGTCAAATTAGCCTCCAATCTATTTTACTTTCATCAGTGAAGTACTGTTGGTAAGAGTAATGTACTTTGAAGTTCAGTTTTAGATCCATCTGGCACTGTTATTTGGAAGTATTTTTTCCTCTAGAGTAAGAAGACAGTATGGAAATACTACTTTTGAAATGCAAAACTCAGCTACTTCTCTTCTGTGATAATCTCCTTGTGAGAAAAGGTACTTTTAACAGGCCTTTTATCAGAGGGGCGACAATTTTGAGGAAGTTCAGTATTGTTTTGGCTGATTTATTAACTGCAGCAGTTCACTTTCTGTGTTAGCTGTTTTAAAGGTACAAATTACATTTATTCAGAATGCTTCTTACAAGGAAAAAGGCTTTCACAGGCAGGACGGCATTGAACTTATGCCATAGTCTTCTGAATAGGAGGTCTTTCTTTCACTTGAGAAAGTCCACAGTAGACATGTTCACAGACATAGCTGAGTAGTTAAGTCACTTGGATGTTAATTTTGCAAGGACTTGTATCACAAACAAGCATGTGCGTGAGATATTGCAAGGCTAGGCGCTACAAATGGTATGTGTCATCTATATTTTACTTAGCACAATGGGGCTGGCTCTAAGCTGGGAGAAGAGCCCATTTACTGATGCATATGTTATAACTATCAAACCTAATAGTAAGTCACTGAATTAATGTCTAATTCCTGGTACACGTTAGTGTAAAACCCTGATATCTTGAAACTTCACTGTATGTTCGTGTCAGGAAATGCATTTTCATTAAATTCTGCCTTAAGATAAATACTAGGTTCTCTTTTAACCTGTCACTGACTTTCACACATGCAATGTGAAAATCACCTTCTTCAGGCTGGCGACTTGTATTAGTTATCAAATGTTAGCTAGCATCTGGCTATTTTATTTGGAAAATAAATATACATTTTATGGCCCAGTGTGACACCAGGTTTCAGGTTGTATGGAAGATGCATAATATGAGAAATCTGCATGATTTATAAGAGAAAAGTCACAGTTCCAAGGCTTTCCTTTGGGACTTAGAGCCTGTGGAGTACTCTTTATGTTTGAGGCTTTCAAATGAAACTTTCATGAGGCTCAAATGTTCATGTTGATGAGAATATTAAAATGCAGTAGCACTTGGGCTCTAAACAAAGATCACCTGGGCATTCTGCAAGCATACAAAGCCTATATCAGGAACAGCTTGGATTTAAATCCGTTAGGCGGATCACCAGGTCAGGTTTCATTCCCAAGCCTTCACTTAGGCAAATACGCTCTCTGCATAACCTGGTGTGCGTCCTCTCTTTCAAATGCAAGGTTGGCTACGAAGCTTATACTTAAGTCTGCCATAGGGTTTGTGCGGGTGGTTTTGTTAGCATAAATGGAGATTACACGAATGAATCACTGCACTTGTGTGTTACTTGAGGTGTTACCAGCTACCAGGCACTCAGTCTTCCAGGAGCAATATGCATGAAGTTGAAGCAGGATATCCTATCGTACTGTATAAGAAGTGAGAAGCCTGACAGTGTGACCTTTACCGTGTTTATGCTCTGTCATCATTGAAGTTAGGAGAACTAGAGTCTGAATCTCTTAAACTTTAGAAAAAATGAAGACGGCAAATTTGTATTTATCTTCCAAGTTGTGATAGCTTGGTGACTGGATTGGCTCTGTGTAATCTCTAAGACTTCTTCCATGGCATTATGGAAATACAATGTGCTTATAACCTGCTTTTCATATGCAGTGATTTTCAGTATGTTGTTTTGAACTTGGTAGGATGTACTTGAAAATATTTGTTTTACTGAGATCCGTTTTCCTGCTCAACAAAATTACAGCTTTTGATTTGTTAATGCTGTTCTGTTTAATTATGCAAGTATAAAAAAAGCACCACCTTAATTAGGATTGTAGGCATGATATCTTTTCTTGAAATCCCTATTTTCTTTCCTTTCCAGAAAAAAATGGCCCTTTTGGTAGTTTGCTGTCCTCAGTTGCCAGAATTGAAATAGTGGCCTACTAAATGCATATTCGGGAGTGGAGAATGTTTTGGAATTAAAGCATTTTTGGTTTCTAATCAGCTAATTAGGAACTTAAATTGGATTAATGTATCTGAAATGCTTATTGAGATAATCTTGGAAGACAATAACAAGGTGGTGTCAGGATAAGGACTGAAATCTGTGTCAGATCAGTGTCGATGAAGACAAGGAATACTAAAGTATGAAAATGTTTCACATGTGTAGCAACTGCATATTCCTGCAAAGCTGTGTTTAAAGCTTCTAGGCTACTCAAGCTCTGCATGCCATTAAAATGCTTTATTAGTTTCTGCATTGACCAGAATCTTCCCTATACTCTATAATGTGTAAGTGTATGCACGCACTTCTGAGATGAAGTACTTCCACATACTCTCAAGATTTTCTTTATGAAAATGACTGACACTTAAAATATATGAAGTTATTTGAAAATGTTGGTGAAATTTAAAAAGTTTTCCATGAGGCTGAGGGGTGAATTGTTTCTCTGTTTGTTCTTATTGTAAGTCAGATTTCTATCAAAATTTGTGCTGGAACTTTGTTGGCATGAAAACTCAAATATTCCTGGGTTAGATTTTTTAAAACCCCACAACAAGAAGATCTGATTGATAGTTTTCAATTCATAGCACATCTGAAATAATGCAGGATATGAAGTGTTTTCTTGTGCTTCTGGTGAAACTGTTGTGAAGCCTTTGTCCTAATTAGGACCATGTTCAATAGCAGCAGAATAAAAATAGACTGTTGGCTTAGACTGGGAGCGTGACTGTTATTTACAGTGATTTCTTTAGATGCATCCTCACATGAACTTGTGTGCTTTGGTAACAACTGGAAAGGCAGTGAATGAAAGCAGTATAACTTACAGCCCAAGTGAGTACTGAAATTGTCTGAACGTGACCCCTTCTTGTCATTGCAGTGCCAGAAATGGGTGAATGTTAGTGTATTTCAGCATGATGAATTAAGGGCTCTGTTTACAAGTCTTCAGTATATCTTCGAAATGGTGTACAAATTTAATGCAAGTGGGTTCAATAAACAGTTGTTACTAGGAGTATTATTTACTAGAACTGGAATCAATAAAACATGTGGAATTTAGACACATACTTAATAATCATCACTCTTCTGTATGCAGAATGCCAGGAAAAGCGAGGGTGTGCATGAAAACATTTTTTAGTTGATTTTAAATGACCAGCATTGCTGAAGAATCATCTGAATGTTGAGAGGAAGACTGGAAATGGGTTATCTCTCCAAAACAGATGTTTGTGCTCTTCCATCTCTAACATTTGATGATGTGAAATGCTGTGTAGCAATCAAAGCATAACAATGAAATTTAAGTGAAAGCAACACTAG